GGCTTGGAGCAACCTGGGCTGGGGGGAGGTGTCCCTGCCCAGGGCAGGGGGTGGCACTGGGTGATCTTCAAGGTCCCTCCCAACCCAAACCATTCTATGACTCTACGACAGAAGTGCCCATCGGGGACACATCCCCAGGCAGCTCAGCCCGCTCCACCGCCAGGAGAACGCCCTCCCAACAGACTGCCCCCCACCTCTCATCACACAGGTGATGCGATGGGACACCTCTACTATGACCACATTTAACACGCACGCCTGACACATTCACAAGCTCGTTTTACACGCTTATCAAATAGAACATTACTGTACCACGCCAAAAAAATACAGAGCTCAGACCGTCACCGTTCATAGGCGTAATGCGGCTCTGCCCACAGCAGCTTCGCAGTATCACTCCCGACCCCGAAATAACGGCCGCTGTCACCAGGTATTTCAGCGCTTCCCTGGCAAACTTCGGCTCACCTCATGAAAAGTGTCTGACAAAGTATCTTTTCAAAAATTGAAATCAGAATGCATTAGTTTTCAAGCACCCAGAACTTCTTTTTCTTTTTTTTTTTTTTTGAAACCGATCCAGATGAATCACTCATCCACTTAAATGCTTGATCGTGACTTAAGCTGCAGTAATATGAAATCCCTGGAGTACGGAGCTCTTCTACATCAAGCGGTTTTTAATGTAGCAATGTACTCAAAATTATTCTACATGTAATAAATGCAGTAAGTAAATCAAATATACATAAAAAAAAAGACAAGCTTCTGAAACCACAATGTCACAGAAGAAAACGCAATGAACCTCTCCTTAAATATCTTTAATGGGATTTTTCGAAAAGTACATGACAAAGCACTTGAATTCTTTTTAGGCAACACTTTGCTAATAACCTAAAAATACAATTTCAAATTGTTTCAGAGATAAAGAGGCAGCTAAAAATATCTTGCTAAACAATCTGTTACAACATGCCTTTTTGATTACTTATGACAGTGATATCTTCAGTATATAAAAAGATGAAAACGATAGAAAAAGACTCTTTCTTTATTGACAGCGAGTATCTAATTTGAGTGGGGGAACTGTATCGCTAAGGATTTATCTCCAAACTGATAACCAGCTTAGCCTATTTTGTGCTGTTAACCCCCTAGCAAGAAAAATTTTAAATCATCAGCTTAAGAGTAATCCAGACAAAAGGTTACCCCAGGCTGCGGTTCTAATTAATACCGAGCAATACGGGCTGCGTTTTAAGAGCACGTGTGCATGTTTCAACTGAAACCACCACCTCCGAGAGGATTAACTGCAGGGTTATATTTAGAGCGTCACACGCATAACAAGGAACGAACGGAGCGCTAAGACCCCTCCGGTTTCGTGAGCGGCGCGGGCAGAAGCGCCGAGAGGCCCTGGTGGGCACGGGAGGGCTGGGAAGGACACGAGGCGCTCCTCCGAGAGCGTCATCCTTCTGGCCCCATGCCGCCCTCGGCCACCACGTCTCTCAGCTGCTGCCGTGACTCCCCCGTGCCAACGGAGCACACCCGCCCTTACCGATCTCAAGCCACCTCTCGCACCGCTCTCCGGAGGATCCTCTGACCCACCGGCAGTGCCAACGGGGCTCTCCCGCAGCGACTCGAATCCGCTGCTGTGACTCCGCTGAGAGGTGGCGAATGTCACTTACTTTAACTCCGTCCCTGTTTTGTAGCAGAACTGAGCTTCACAAGTGGAGATCAAAAGCTTACCCCGTTCCTCAAGAACATATCTGGCTAAACTTAAGGTACAGGAGATATTTAACAATAGAGACTCATTTCAACTCATTTCTTACAAATTGTTCCAATGAGCCATAGTCAAAGAGTGAACTTACGATAGAGAACATTAATGAACCTCAAGCTACTTTAATCTCTGTTAGTGTTCCTCCCCGTTCCACTGTTCTCTCAGTGTTTTCCAAGTTATCTTTTGACACATGAACATTTGGGTAAGCTGCTGCTCAGGTAACTTCCACTGTTTTGTTTTCAATCCATTATGCCTTAAAACTAAACATACTTCACTCTTGAAGGACAAAAACTGTAACAGTGGCTTTTACAAAGCTTTGTTAGCTTTTGTTTAATAAAAAGACACAGTTCAGTACATGCAAATAAAAGCACCGTTAGAAGTTGAGCAAAGTAGACTTTTCCTACAAATGTTCCATTTTCTAAATCTTAAGTATTTGCCCAGTAAGAGGGCAAAAAAATCCTCTACGCCACTCATAAAATACGCTGTGAGAGTACTGTACCAAATTACCAACTTGATTAAATAGTTACATGGCTATTTTTAAAAGTCTCTTGAACTTGTTCAAAATGATAGCTTTGTCCCTTTCAGATGCAAAGGTTACTACATAAAATATTGTCTCTTGTGATCCAACCGGTCCCCTGCGAAGTGGGAAGGAGTGAGAACACGGCGCTGCCGCGCGTGCTCCCTCCCCTCAGCATCCCCTGCCCGAGGGGGACCGGTGGCACAGCCTCCCTCCCCCCGCCGCCCCCCGCAGCCCCACCACGCCGCCAACCGCCACTTACCTCTTCGTAAAACTTCAGCTGAGGGACGGCTTCATCGATCTCGTTCATGCAATAGTCTTTAAAAAGCAAAAATCCTGGAAAGAAAAAAGTAAAAAAAAAAAATCAGTAAAAATGTATTATTAGTATGGTAACTTGTAAAAAGGGATACAAACCCACCCAGGTAACATCATGGGTTGCACATACCTGTGTGGGCATCCCTAATTGCCGCGGCTTAGTGATACTGACTATCAAGCGGCTCTACAGCACTCTGGACAGAAAAGGAGGGGAACCTCACTCACCTCCCATAGGCGTATTAAGAATATTCCAATTTCTACCTGCTGCGAATTTTATGATATGTTTACATAACACACCAAAATATAGAATCATAGCATCACAGAATGGTTTGGGTTGGAAGGGACCTTGAAGATCACCCAGTGCCCCCCCCTGCCCTGGGCAGGGCCACCTCCCCCCAGCCCAGGTTGCTCCAAGCCCCGTCCAACCTGGCCTTGAACACCTCCAGGGATGGGGCAGCCACAGCTTCTCGGGGCAACCTGGTCCTCCGTCTCACCACCCCCAGAGTGACAAATTTCTTCCTCATATCTCATCTCAATCTGCCCTCTTCCAGTTTGAAGCCATTCCCCCTCGTCCCATCACTCCATGCCCTTGGAAAAAGTCCCTCCCCAGCTCTCCTGGAGCCCCTTTAGGCACTGGAAGGGGCTCTGAGGACTCCCCTTTTTCGCCTTCTCTTCTCCAGGCTGAACCCCCCCAACTCTCCCAGCCTGTCCTCCCAGCAGAGGGGCTCCAGCCCTCCCAGCATCTCCAGGGCCTCCTCTGGACCCACTGGGATGTTTCTGAACAGAAATCAGAACCTGTTCAGAAACATCCCATTCCTCTTCATGGATCAGATTTTTTTTCATTTTTTCAGAGCAAAAACTAGATACTTTTCACATGGCTTGGTTTTCTGAAGTAGATTTACCCACTTTTTCTTGATAAACAGCAACCCCTTCTGCATTCCAATTTTAGAATTACTGGTTGATGTTACCTCTAATAGGTTTTATAGCACAATAAATTACACCAGCATCTTTATAGTTCCTTCGCAAGTAATTTAAAGCATGACCTCTGCAGCCTGCTGATGAGTATTTTCCATTATAAGCATTTTAACGCTTCTCCTCATGGAAGCGCCGCCTTTCCGTCCGGCTGAGCTGGTACCTGCTGCCCTTTTACTTTACATGGCATCAGCTGCCACGGCGAATTGTCTGCGTTACCTGCAAGCCCCTCAGAGCTGGAAACCAACCTGCTTTCAGCTCTTTGCAGCGGGCAATACCTTTCCTTATTTAGACTTACTGCGTGCTCACTGAAATCACACCCAGCTTCGGGAGGTACGACCCCAAAAAGCATAAACTTGAAGGGCAGAGCGAGGATGGGAAGGCAGAGTGGTAACTCGAGGGCTGGCGCTGGCTGGGAACCGCTCCAGCCCGCTCCCCGCTCCTCTCCTCTCCCAACAGGGCAGCACAGCAGGATATAACACACCCCTTTGCAACTTAAAAAAAAAAATAAATATATATACACAAAAGACCTATTTTTTTAATGAAAATATAATTGTAATTTGAACTTACAGCAAAATTCTACTACCAAAAAAAGTAGCACATCACTGTACGCTCAACTAAGAAATAATACAACCACCTGCAACACCTCATGTTTTCCAGAGTACGCTATCTTTAAAAAAATGCAAACCCCACTTCATGTGCTACACGGTAATTTCACCGCAGTGCGTACAGGAGAGCATTTCCCTCAGCTGTGAACATCGCGTCCTCTCAACTCACTGCCATCTCACTTCAGCACAGACCTAAGTAAGAAAAAAGCCCCACCAATTACTCAGAAGCAAAACCATTAGCGACAGCAGACAAAGCAATACTAATCAGGCAAAGAAAAGCTTTAATTTATGTATAAACGTGTATCAGCTTCTCAGTAGCCCCTCTAGCGATAACTGGGTCCCCAGTCAAATCTCCTGTCGAAAAACGGAAGAGCACATTTTCTGGTGTCCCCTGGATTCATTTGGTCACCGTCAGAATTCCAGAAGAGGGATTATGACCAGACAACTCCTATACTTCGCTCGACTCATTTAGCTGATTAGGATGATCTTTCAAAGATTATACAAACTGAGTTTTGTTCTCTAAATAAGGACAGAAATCTAATTACAAGCCTCTCTTACGAGATTCTCCAAACTTTGTAATTCTTCTCAACAAAAAGGATCATTCTTGAAGTATTTTATAAACAAATGTGCTTTCTTGAAAACAAACCAACCAACCCACCCCAAGTTGTCTATTCCTTAAAAGCAATTTGCAGTTCGAGTGGTTTTTTTTTTTCTCTCTCTCTTTTTTTTTTTTTTTTTTAAGGGCTTGTCTTAGTTCCTCTTTTACTGGAAATATTCTTAATAAGTCGTCTTCCGGCACTGCAGAGGGGACAGGAGGGGACATGCCTCGTAGGACGGAGGGGGTTCCCAGCCACCCCCCGAACCCCGGGTGGCCCTGTCACAGCAGGGGACACGGACTGTCCCCACTGCTGCCAACAGTCGGCCAAAGCCACCCGAAGAGCACACCTCTTCGCACGTGCCCCCACCGGCGTGGAAACACGGCACAAAGCCGGTGCCGAGAACAAAACCTGCCGGAGCCGAACCCCATTCATCAACTCTTCCTTGACACACGGTGGGAACGGCAGCAGCACCCAGAAAAATAACACTGAATTGACTGAACTTTCCTTTGGACAATGAACCAAAGAAGATTACAGTCATGTAATTAAGAGACTGAAGAGTGGCACAAACGGCAATGAACGCAGTGAAAGAAAAATCCCTGGCGCAGCCCCAGCTACTGGCTGGTTCCCAAAAAAACCCACAAACAAAACAAAACAAAACAAAAAAAAACCCCAACAAAACACAAAGACAACTGTGGGAGGAGTGCGAAAATATACCAACACACATTTTCAACAATGCTGCGCCAAACATTTTAGCTCCGTTTAATATTTTCCAAACTTTTTAATTTAATTAGCGCAGAGAAAGAAAAGGTTGACAAGACCAGAGAAGGAGGAACAGCCGGCCGGTGCTGCCCGCCTCGCACTGCCCGCACCCCACCACGGCCCCGTCCAAACCGCGCCGCTGGCAAAAAACTAGGGAGAGACAAACCAAAAAGTTAGAAATTTTTAATATAGTCATAATAGGTTATAGCCATGTGAACCGGTACTGCAAAAATGCTGTCAGTCATGTTCCAGTGAAGATGAGCAGAATTATAACAGCAGCATTTTAAAATGTACGATTAAAAAAACCAAACTGATTTAAAAATACTGCAGTAAAATAAATTATAGTGCGAAACATCTGGACAGCAACATCTCAGCATTACAGGCTGAGAGCTGGGGGGGTTCAGCCTGGAGAAGGTGAAAAAGGGGAGACCTCAGAGCCCCTTCCAGTGCCTAAAGGGGCTCCAGGAGAGCTGGGGAGGGACTCTTGACAAGGGCATGGAGTGATGGGACGAGGGGGAATGGCTTCAAACTGGAAGAGGGGACATTTAGATGAGATATGAGGAAGAAATTTGTCACTCTGGGGGTGGTGAGACAAAGGAACAGGTTGCCCCGAGAAGCTGTGGCTGCCCCATCCCTGGAGGTGTTCAAGGCCAGGTTGGACGGGGCTTGGAGCAACCTGGGCTGGGGGGAGGTGGCCCTGCCCAGGGCAGGGGGTGGCACTGGGTGATCTTCAAGGTCCCTTCCAACCCAAACCATCCTGTGACTCTATGATGTCTTCTCCATGAAGTTACTGATGTTGTAATCATTCACGAGGAGAACACCCAAGACATCGGCAAGCCTGCTGCAGACAAAACCATTGGGTGGTTCTTCACCCCGAAGAGCAGCAGGGCGATGGGAAGAGGATGGAGGGGGACGGGGTGTCCCCTCGGCCCCGGTCAGTGGCACTGGAGACAGGCATAGCCACGTTCGGTACAGCAGGAGGTCACACAGAAATTCTTCCGTAGCCAGAAAAAAGGTTACGATCTTAATTGTAATTTTTACAAGTTGCAAGAGAGGGGAAAAAAAATACAACACTTGCAAAGGTCAGCAGCATCCAAGCAGAACATTATTCTCGCACTTAGGGAGTATGTAACACACAAATCAGAGCATCAGCTTTCATCAACCATTCACCACTGTCCTTTCAGGGAAAAAAAACAAAACAAAACAAAACATACCCTGTTAAGAAGTGCTGTTTGATACCAGTTAAGTTGAAATAAAAAGGTATTTTAAGTTTCCTCTGAAGAACCTGTAGACTGGGAGCATTTATGTACATATATTAAGATCTACTGCATACATACATGCAGCTTATACAGTCATTAATGTGGCATTTCACACAAAAGATTTCCCTTGACAGAAAGGTTTCTAGTATTATTGTTTAAAAGATATGCTCTAACCAGACCATAAGAAGGATTATGCATACCATAGGCTTTCCAAGCACCAGTTCAGAACGCCGGACACGCGCTGCTCTGCGAGTACCAGGCAGTTCCATCCCACCAGTTTTCCCCCTGCCTGCCAGTGCAGATCCACACCTTACAGCTGGAACCTATGGATTTTTAATATCTCCAAGAATACATTTCTAACGACTGCGTGACGCTGCCTGCACCCATCACTGAAACACCGTCTGGTGGCTCCAGCACTGGAAAAATACTCCCGAGCTGGGAGCGGAGAGCCGGCTGCGGAATTCCTACCGCCGCTGCGGGGGCAACGGACAACGCCACTGCTGGTCCCGCGTGGGAGCCGTGCCGGCCACCTCGGGCGAAGGCTCCAGGCGCCACGGGAGGCCGCTCCCCCC